CTGAGGTGCATGATCCGAAGGACTTGGAAATGCTTGATGGACTACGACTAGGCAATGACAATGATGAGGATGAGTCTGTTGAGGATTTGGACAATCTTGATAGTGATGACGATACCTATCGTCTAGATAATCCCGATCATGAAGAATATTAGAAATACATGTAATACTATGTTATTTTGTAATTACATTTTCTTTATTTTGCATCTCTTACTAAGTACATCTCGTTTATCTGTACTTACTGGTTTACTCTTTTTAATTGCAGGTGATGGGGCCCACTAGGAGGAGCTGCCCCTCGGTTTATGCCAACCGGAGGGACATGGTGGCGGCTGAGGAGGCGGAGGCGTTAGAGAGGCCGAGAGCCAGGCCTAGGCGGGAGCCGTTGACTGACCACGGGCGCAGCTCCTCACGTGACCCTATGCACGACGATGACCTTCAACACACGATGGACGGGGACGGGGGTCCACGGACGGAGGACGAGGAGGCAGTTCTAGCGACGAAAGATGAGGAGGCGGCGACGGTAGGGGGTTCCACTTCCTCTGGTACGTCAAAGCCCTACCAGCGAGGTCTCGCAAAGCTCCCGAAGCGACCGATACCTGTTGAGAGGCGCCCACTGATTGCACCCGAGGGCGATAAGTAAGTAACTTCATATGTTCTTCATTTGATATGTTGAAAAATCATAATAACAAGTAATAACTATTGTGGACCACTTGTGTAGGAACTGGGTGCTTGTGGACCAGGCGGCCCCGGCACGTAATGTGAATGGCATCCTGGGACTTCTGTGCAAGGAACACTTCCCTGGCCTGGTTAGGAAAGGAGATCAGGATTGGGAGCCAGCCTGGATGTTCGACCACTATGCCCTCGTGCAGGATGCTCCAGATCATAATGGCATCCGCTGTAGAAACAAGGCAGATCGAGTGATTAGGGAGTTGTGGGTAAGTCTTTCTTGCACTACATTCCTCAATTCCTCGCATTAATTGGACATTCTTGAAATAAAATAATGGATACCTCGTGTCTTTATGCAGGACTTCTTCAGAATCCAGGAGGGATAGGAGGAAAGTGCGTATCAGGTGGCTTACGCTTCCTGTAAAAGGCGTGTCACGGACTTGCACTACGAGTCCTGCATCCAGGCCCACATAGACTACAACGCCAAGTTCCTACTCAGGCGTGTCAACAAAGAGGAGGCAAGACAGATGACGCTGACAAGGGAGCAGTACATACGGGTAAATACAAAACATGAATATTTATTTCTTTTGAGATTAAGTATGCCTAATTTGATATTCTGATATGTCGTCTACTTGATGTCCTGTAGGCGATTCCAAGCTAGTGCGCTACCCACCCCGATTGCTGGGAATATATTGTGGACACCTGGTTGGATGGGGACTGGCAGAAGAAGCACGAGGAGGCCCGCGATAGGCGTTTGCAGATGCTAGGTGTACCTCACCATCAGGGCAGCCACAACCTCAGCAAATATGCAAAGGCATATGTAAGTCTCCGCCATTGCTCTAATCTAGCCGCGCTCAATTCTGCATCATTTCTAACCACATGTTGTTGTCTTTCTCATAGTCGGATGCACACGGTGGCCAGCCAGTTGGTCAACTCAAGGCATATGCTCTGGCTCACATGGGCAAGGCGACGACCGACATCGAGTACGACCCCGATGCCCCAATTGAGGCGTACACCAACTCCAGCGTCCACACCCACCTCTCTTCGTACACGGAGGCGGCAAGGTCATTCCATGGGCCGGGCTACGATCCAAGAACCGAGGAGCGCCTTGATCCTCAGCTCGTGATGAGGGTGGGGCAAGGCAAGAAGCATGGGTGGTTCTGGATTGTCGACGGCGTCCTCGACACGGCCTCTACTCCTCTTCTCCACCAGCTCCGAGCATCGAGCACGAGCTCAAGCGTGCCCATACGCCAACGGCCGACCGCGGTGTCGGCACTCCAGGTAAGCATTCCTATTTCATTCGTCGTTCTTTGACTTTTACATACCTTACCTATGCATTATTGAAACATTGGGGTCAAATGCTGCAGGCCTAGGTGCAGGAACTACAGGCCGAGCGGGAGGTCGAGCGGCAAAGGCTACAGGCTTTGGAGGCCCAGCGGCAGATGGCCGAGATGATCAAGTTCATGCAATAAATTAGCCAGTAACAAGGTTGGGCGATCCCACAGACGCTGCTTGCTCTAGATCCACCTCCACAACGTCCTGATTCTACCCCGGTGAGTATAAGTACGAAGTTTTACTTTCTATGCTGAAACTTAGAGAAACCTAGTGAAACCTAGTGGTGGTGGTGGTGGTGGTGTGGTGGTCATGGTGGTGTGGTGGTCATGGTGGTGGTGGTGGTGTGGTGTTGGTGGTGGTGGTCACGGTGTTGTGGTGTTCATGGTGGTGGTGGTGGTCATGATGGTGATGTGGTGGTGGTGGTGGTGAAGTGTTGGTGGTGAAGTATTGGTGATGGCGGTGATGTAGTGGTGGTGGTGGTAGTGACGGATATTTATCTTCCATATTTATCTCTTCTCTTGTCGCTCACGTGCAATCTCTTCTATTTTGTGCAGCATCAATCGGGGGCGGCGTCGAACCACCTCGGAGGGTCGCCGGGATCGCACTTTGGCCATCCAACCCAGACCGTCGCCGTGAGCTTCAAATGGCAGCCGTTGTGATATAATGCACTTATGAACTTTGTGAACTATGCTTGTGTGTTTGGACTTTAGACTTGGGAGTCGAGATTGTGATACTTGTATGCTATGTTTGTGTTTGTGGTGGATTGTGATATACATTTGTATTATATATATATTTGTGTGATATATAGTTGTGTTATATTATATATATATATATATATATATATATATATATATATATATATATATGATGTATATCTTGTTTGCAACGATGGAAGATTAAAAAACCAAAAAAAATTTGAATTTTTTTACTTCTTTGCCGAGTGTCATGACCATGACATTCGGCAAAGCTGGGAATCTGAGACACTGGGCTTCCCAGCTTTGCCGAGTGCCATGGTCAAGGCACTCAGCAAAGAAAATTAAAAAAAAAACAAACTGCTTTGCCAAAAATCCAAAAAAAAAGAAAACAAGCTTTGCCGAGTGCCAGATGCAGGCACTCGGCAAAGCATTTTTTACAAAAAAATAAAAAACACATTTCTTTGCCGAGTGCCGACGCGTGGCACTCGGCAAAGGGGCCGTCACCATGACCTGACCATCACGGCGGTTTTTCTTTGCCGAGTGCCGTCGTGGCACTCGGAAAATTCTTTGCCGAGTGCCTAACATGCGGCACTCGGCAAAGAAGCCTTTGCCGTGAAGGGATATGCCGACAGCTTTTTACCGAGTGCAGCACTTAGCAAAGGCTTTGCCGAGTGCAAAGCCTTCTTTGCCAAGTACAATTGCATTCGGCAAAGCATGCGTCTCCCGTAGTGCTCGCTCCAGTCCACGATTCCCTGTGTCACTGCTCGTCCTCCCCAGATTGGATAGGCAGCCGTACGTGGCTGGAGCCTGGACCCGTGTTTCTTTCAGGACTCGGTCGGTTGAACGGTAGTCAGCTGACAGCGCCGAGCGAGCATCAGATTTTTTTTCATTTTCTTTTTTTCTTCTAAAAAGTAAAAAATAGTATCACTGCCGGGTGAGAAACTGGCGGTGTGGAATGCCCACAGCCGCTTCCAAATTCAGTAGTGGTGACCGGGTTCACAGTAGTGATGGTACATTTGAAAACTTTTGATGTAAAATTTACAATGTAAATGCCAGTACCTTCCCTTTATATCACGCTTTTGGATTCTTTCCTTTTCATGAACAAATAAAATTCAGGTAAGATTCTGCAAGGGCAAATAAAAAAAAGGAGAGGGCCATGGAATTAGATTTAGGAGAGAGCACTACTCTCTGTAATGGCCGGCCACCTACCGTACAACTTACTATCATACATGAGCATGTTTCCAGTACAGAAGATAGCTACGATTTTTTAATAAAGTGGGAGCTCAGCAGTGAAGAAATTAAAGTAACTTGCAATGCAACATGTGCTTTGAGATTGAAATATGATTAATGTGGCTAATGCATTGGAGATAACACTGATTGACCAGCAGCCACACAAAACACCGAGAAAGATACAATGTTTAGGCAACATCATATTTATGTTAAGAGCCAACCCCCTATGACAGGTAGGGCCACACCCCTACACTTGGGAGTGCATTTCCTGACTTCACAGCAAAATTGGGCTGAGTTGGCTAAAATTGGACCATCGGCCGACCGGCCAATTTTGGCCAATCAGGCTCACCTTTTCCACATAGCTTCTAGAAGCATTGCACATCATGATAATGTATTTGGATAGTCAATTGGCCATACTTGGGACAACCCAAGTTGGGCCCAGACTTGTTTTTTTTCCGATTTTGTATCTACATTCAAATAAAGGACATGTACATGTGGAACCAAGTTATTTGAACCAATATCATTCGTGTTATGCTCATTTTCTTCCAAGGGTGACACTTTGTTGACGGTTTTGACTATGTAAAAATATGATGAAATTACCATCAACATTATTCAGCATGTCCTTTGTGTTGATCCAAACGATTAACTATAGGAAAGACATCCCACGATGGCGGCCTTCTAGGAAGGTATATAACTGAGAGGAAGAGATATATAAAGAGAGAGAAGGCTAAATATTTTCTTTCGTGTTCTCTGTTAGGGTTAACCATCTTATTTCATTAGGGTTACTCACTCTCATCACCCACCCACACACACCCGCACACACATGTCGTTGGAAAGATAAGACCAGAGGTTGTTTCACGTAGCATATTAATTATTCAGGAAAATCATTCAAGTGTACAAGCACTGAATTATTAGTTGGCCTATGAATCATTTATTATTTCACCAAAACAAATCATTCTTATCTTAGCTTTGATTTATTATATATGAGTAACCTTTGTAAAAGCATGTCGTTGTCTACTTGTATATTAGGGTCTAGAAACGAAGGTAGATAGATCGGAGCTCTAGCTCAACAATGAGATGGAGAAGATCTCCTCCTTCTCTGGCCTGCTAGAGGAGATCATAACCAAGCCACAAGGCTCGCCTTGTTTTTCTCTACGGGCAGAGCTAGACAGGCCCCGTGCCAAACGAGAGAGGGCATATTGGAAGTTCCAGTGCCAAGCAACAGGAGTTGGAGATCCAGAGGGCGAGGATGAAGATGAGAATGGTCATGGCGGGCAGGAGATAAGCCTGACTAGGCTCCATCGCATTGAACATGTGCTTTGTGTTGATCCAAACGATTTGATGTAGGAATGCCATCCAACGATGGCCTTATAGGATGGTATATAACTGAGAGGAAGATATAGCAATAGATAAAGAGAGATGGCTAAATATTTTGTTTCATGTCCTTTATTAGGCTTTGTGCGCTTTGCTCACTAGTATGTGTAGGAGCCCCCCGGTTGCTTGAGTGCTAGTGGCAGACTGGTTCACGATGTTAGAGGATCAAGGTGTGGCCAACGCTCGACGGGAGCACATATCGGCGGAGGACGGCGACCGGTGGCTAGGGTTAGCAGTGGTGAGCCCTAATGTGCGACAAAGAGAGCGGAGGCCAGAGTGAGGGGAGTTGGATGGGCACAATGCTCGAGCGATTTGCTAATGACTGCTCCTTGCCTCTTTCATCTTTGTGCTAGGCCAGAAGTTGAAAATATTTGGCCCAACTCGTAGGACTAGACTAGAAAACTACATGTACTATAAAGACTTTTTTGGGCCACGCCTAGGGTCATGGCCCTAGTGGCCCTAGGCCCAAAATCCACCCCTGGGCCCAACCCCTCTTCAGTCCTCGATTCAATTCTCATTACGTGGGTCAAGTTTTAGACTTTTGCTCCATCTCATGTTGTTTAGTGGACAAGTAAGTCCTACACGCACAAGAGGTGAGAAACCCATAACCTTCTCGACTTCTATCATCTAAGCAAGCCAAGCATGGATTACACAATAAAACCAAAGTAAACAAGCATGGTACAAAGGCACAAGGATCAATCACAAGTTATTGAGCTCAAATAGGTACTTTAGGTAACTAGTCATATTGTAACATACCATGCATTTACTTAACATGTAGTCATGTTATGCCATTTGCTAATGAGTCAGGGATGCTTAGAGGCCTGCCTTGAGTTTCGGGTGGTGGTGGTTTGACTTTGTTCATAGGGCGGTCTCATCATTCGGGGTCTCCTCGTCACAAGGTTCTTCACCTATAGAAGCATGGTGCGAATAAGTACAAGGAAGTAAACATGATGTAGATGTTTATGCAAGAATAGATGTACAATGATGCATAACATATAGGCTAATAGTATACAACATATGTGCTTAAAGTGTAAACATATAGGTGTTGTCGAGGTTCCCATGAACCATCCAGGGTGTGTTGCCGGACCATCCACGTGATCTCGGACTATGAATGAGGCTGAATGGCTGGAACTATTTAGTGGAACCAGGCTACCCCAATTGTCTAAGTGTTGGATCCCATGGACCATCTGTTAGAACTGGAGGATTGTCCGTGCAATCATACCCACAAGTGCTAGTAGCTTCGAGAATCCTCAGTGTGAAGTTTTGAACCCCAGTGTTGCACCCTTTTTTTGTAATTATATTCCCATGTGCGCATTAGATATCTAGGACAAGGCGAAGAGGAAGGGAGATGGGGCAGCTTGGGCCACGCTTGGTAGGTATAAAGACTTCTCTTTTGCAAAAAAGGAAAAAACTTATGACGATATGCTATATAGTGTCATCAATTTGTGATGTTTAGTAATTTGCCTCTAATGACAAAATAGAATTCATTATGATATGTTAAAGGACCAGTTTATGATGATTTCTCTTGTCCATAGTGACATAAACCTCATTTTAGTTACTAATCCTTTGCGCCCCTTGCAAAACATCACAAAAATAGAATCGTCATAGATCGCCACCACATTTCTAGTAGTGATTGGTTTGGAAAGGAGAGGCAAAGTGTGGGACTTTAATTTTGTGGTGCCTATTTGGGTATCAGTATGGCTCCTCGACTCGAAGAAGAAATCCCTATGTTTGATCTTAGCTGGATGTAGTAGCAATGATGGTATTGTTGTTGCTTTCTTGTTGAAGGCATTATTTATATATAGTGTTAGATGAATTTCTCTTTCGGGTGAGAACCTGTGGTACATGCTATGCTGGTTGAATCATATGGCAATGGCACGCAAAATGCTGTCATTTTCTTCTTAGATGCCTGCTTTTGGAGGGCCTTCCTTATGTTTCATGTGTTGTTATAGTTATGCATGAATTTGAAGATTATGTTATGTGTTGTAGCTTAATGTGGCATGGTGCCACAACATTACCCTTCAATAATCATATGTCATAACATCTTAGTAGCGATACAAAGGCCAGGAGCGGTCTTTGAATCGATTATATCATCTTAATGTAATTGTCTAAGTTCAATAAAGTATTCTTATATTATATAAAGAAAACATTGGTACCCAGCACAACAAACAAGACCTACACAAAAACCAATCCAATGCATGTCATTGTGTTGTGTCTATATTCAACAATAGCAATTGAAATTGTTATCCCCTAACTTCCTATCAGTATATATAGCAAAACGTCTCCATTCATTTTTATAAAAGAATTGTTTCAGGAAGTATAGGAGTGTCCATATAATTTTGAAAAATTGAAACGTGTTCATATCTCATACACGCATGCCGTTGGAAAGATAAGACCAGAAGGTTGTTTCACGTAGTATATTAAATGTTCAGGAAAGTCATTCAAATGTACAAGCACTAAATTATTAGCTGACCTATGAATCATTTATTATTCCACCAAAACAAATCATTCTGATCCTAGCATTGACGTCGAATTATGGAAGCAATTAACCATGAGAATTAATGCCATGAGCCATACAAGTCGAATCTTAAATACCCCAGAGATCTTTTAGAATTGTTTCATAAAAAAAGAGATCATTTAGAATTAGCAAATCTCACAGAGATATGGAGCACGTTAGCCCTCATGAGCCAGAAGAGAATGGAGAATTATACCACGTTGAAACAAATTGGAGACGAATATTGTAAATGTGTGCTATAAATAGATCCCTACCACTAGAGCTAGCAGCAGACATATACACATTCATCATTCCCCAGAAATTTTAGTAGCAGCCAGTTAACCATGCCGTCGTCTGTCATTCAACAGCACAGCCATGCCACAGATCCTTCAAGTAGCATCTCTAGGAGAAAGAAGTGCACCGATGACATGGTATGGTTCATCCACCTGCCTATGCACCAGGCCGCCAAGGCACTTGGCATGTCCTGCGCGATGATCCAAAGGACTTGTCGCAGCAACGGCATCCAGCGATGGCCTTCCAGGAAGGTATATATATTTGATATTAATCTTCATGAATCGATCAGCAGTTAATACACATGTTATTATGTCATCTGACGCCTAACTATATATATGCTGCTACGTTCTGTACAGATTGGCGCTTTGGACCGCAAGATTTTAAAGCTGGAGAAGAACATGTTCCTGCCAAGAGACCGTGTGAAGAGAACCAAGATGCTGGATGAATGGAAAAAGTTGAGCCGTGAAAGGATGGATATCTACTGCAACTTCATGTCGTTGATATAATAAATTTAGTTGTAGCTCACCGCTTGCCGCATATGCATTGCAGCTATTATCACCATGTTCGTGTTGCTTGGTATTACTATATATTACATTGGGCATATCCGTGTAAAAAGAGTACTACTCCTCATTTTTGCACCCATGCTCATGTATGTATCTGGTATAAGCTAGCGTTTATTTAGCCTTTTGCACCATGCATGACTGAAGAATGTCTTTTTAATATATTTGATTATGCATAAATTATTGGAGAGGTCTGCCACTCAATATATTGACACACTCTTTTTATGCAAGCGCCTAAAAGATGAACATGTAAACAGCCTGAATGGTTGGCGTAATTATCTTCTATCCTGTAACGCTACTGCCCACTCCCGTTAACTGGAGTGTTTGCTTGGTTTGAAATGAAAATTTGATGGGGAAACTCCCCCCACCCCCCCGGTTGGTTTTCTATATATATATATATATATATATATTGACACACTCACACACTATCCCACTGGTTGTCCTTTTGGTAAAAAAAAACTAATATATATGCAATTTTTTTCTTTAAAATTTTGATATATTCCGTCTAGATCTATTGAAACCGGCCTCCGTTTAATTTTGTGTGACCCCCTTCTGCATCTTACAAAATGCCCAGAGAGGCTGCAGTTGATTCTTGATTGGTTGTAGTAATGCATTTGTTTGTGTGTGACACTCAAATCTGTCTGAGTATATGTATATATATAGGGCGTGTTCAGCTGGTACACAACAGTACTGTGCACTAGTTTGTTCGGGTTGGTTTTGGCTGATTCAATAGTGTTCTGTGAGAGAGAATAAGCTGAGACAAGCCGAGCCGAACACGCTGATAGTCACTCAAATAGGTTGGCCAAATGCTTAAATGCACTCGATCGGTTTGGATGAATGAGTACGTATGATTACTTGGCTTGGTTACTATATGCGTATATTCACTCAAGCTCTTGAGGAGATTATTATACATTTTTTACCGATTGCCTACGATCAAGTCAGAGATGGAAGATGAAGAATTGGAGCTGTATCTGATCGCATCAAGTTGAGAATCTATTTTTTTGGAGGACTATACATCGGAGACAAAGGAAAAGGGGGCGATGTCTGCTGCCTACAGGTCTGGCCGTAGGACTTCGAAGTGCTAAAATATACTGGCTGAGCATAAGTGAGTGCAGGATTTTGTAACCTGTGCAAAGGCCAAACATCGTCTAGGCTTAGCATAGAGAATTTCAGCCTCCAGCCCGACGTTTGTCTGGGGTATTCAGGATTTGTTGGCGGTTCTGTCTGGCGTCTTCAGGTTCTTGGGGCAGCAAGAACATTATAAGTCCACGCGTGTGCAATACATTAAAGGCAATATTTGGAACATAGGAATGCAAAACAGAAAACAGATGAATTAGAAAAAGCAAAAAGTAAAAAAGTACAGGATTTCCAAAACACAGGAATGGAAAACTTAGGGTGTTTGGATTGTAGGAAAAGTTTTTGGCTGTGCCTAGAATAAAGAAATGGAAAAAATACGAATATGATAGGATTGGAACAACGTAAATGTAGCCAAGCCCAGCACCTCTCACCTGTTGCATATTATTTTGCTCCGTAATAAAATCATCAAGGTAAAAATATTTCTATCTTCAAGTCATGACGTATGCGCCCTGTGAACCATGGGTCCACTACATAGAATACCACCGATA